TCTCTGTGTGCTTTGGAGATGAAAATGTGACATTTGAATGGATCAAGTACATTGGAACAAGGACAAAGGAGAGTTTGAGGTGACTGGGCAGAATCTCAGTAGGCTTTTTTGTAAAGTAAAGAAAAAGATTAAGAAAGGTAATTACTGACCTGCTTGTTGGTTTTGAAATTTGCCACTCTGAAGGTGAAAATGCAGTTATATTATTGGCAAAATGAAAAAGAACAGAATAGCAAAGTAGCTCTTTTCCTTCTACGAACAGCTGCTCTATTCCTCTGTAATCAAAAGCTAACACCAGCTTGAGTTTTTTTTCTAGCTGTGGGGTATTCTTAATGGATTTTTTCATGATAAATTGTAGATGTGATTTCTTATGCCAGAATAAAGGATGTGTATTCCTATTTAGTTAGTCTGGTGAGACTCCGTTTCCTTCTCTTGTACTCTTTTAAGGGTTATCGAATATAAACCTTATTTTTAAGTCCCATGATAATGAATCAGGCATGTCCTATTCCAGCCTACAGCAAACTGCTAAGAAATCAGTGTGTGTGTGTGTGGGAGGGGGGTTGCTAATTGGAAGAGCAAACACTTTGTAGGTAACCTTCTTTTGAACTTAAATCTTTTATCTAATTTAGTCTGGTTCTGCAATAGCTGTTTTCCCACAAAGACGATCACTATAATATAAAGCGTTCAATATTAACAGGCCTGACTATTATTAAAACTCTAGGGGAATTTTGTCCTAGGCCACACTAGAGTTAAGGCTAGACTTTGGCTATCAGCTTATTCTAGTTTGACGGCAGACCTAACCATGATGAGTTATTTTAATCAAAGAGTATGTGTATGTGGTATTTGAAGGCAGATGCTGGTTGCTCTGTCTGACTTTCAAGCTGCATCCAGATGCAAACTGGAACTATGCAGCAATTCTTAAGATATTGCTGGTCCTGAGTTTCATATGAAGCCTTGCTGAGCTGGGGCTTAGGACTTGGCTGAACTGGAAACAGCATTTCTGCATTTTGTTCTCTTACTCTGCTCTCACAGTGGTGGCCTTGAATATCCATAGAATTTGGTCCTTCTGCTGTCTTCCAAATAATTAATTTTCCTGTGAATTCATAAATATTTAAAGTTTTGTTGTGAGCCCATACATGCTGGACCTATTGACAGTTTGACCTTCTCCTACTTCCCTGCCTTGTATCTAAAACAGTTCACTATTGCAAAGGCAATTCATGTGTTTAACTGTCATATAAAATTTCATTATTTGCTCTCAATTTTGTTCTGATTTATATATGATTGACTTGACTTTCATGAGGCTCTTTTTCACTGAGCATGAACAGAAGCATGAATTGGGTGAAAGCTGTTTTGTTTGTTTATTGCCTTTTTTTTTAATTTTAACTTGCTCTTTGCATTTTAAATTATAGTGACTGGAAAACTGGCAGAATATTGTTGTGTAATTGCAGTGTTTTATTCAAATAGGTGTTATTTATGGTTGGTTCTTAAAATAGCACATCACATTTTGAAAAATCTCATCCTCAGAATTTATCTGCAGTCTAAATTGATGGAAATTGTGTACTCTATAAGGTAAAATCAAGTGCAATAGATGTTCCATAAATTTCCTTTGCGGGCTACAAATGTTGCTGGTGGCTGACAAAATATTTCCTAGTTTTGCATTTTTTGTTGCTTTTGAAATGTACAGTTTTCTTTGACTAATATTTCCTTCATTGCAAAGTAATTAATGCACACTCAGAGTTTTTATTTGACCTCAGCTACTCTTAAGGGGAAAATCACAGCTCTTGTGACTTCAGCATTTTGTGTGTTCATCTGTTATTCTGTTGTCCAGCTTGACAACAGCTGCAAAAGGAATTCACCAGGTGGTAGGATTTCATCAGGTGTTGAAATGTACTTAGACAAGTGAAACAGTAAGATACTTCCTTAGCATCTTATTTATCTTGGCATCTTACTTAGGATTTCTGTTACCACACTAAATATTAGTTTTGCACTTGAAAAAATATTAGATCTCTCCTGCCATGTCCTATTAAATCAAGTGTCCTTGACTGGTTTTAAGTATTGGTTTACTTAATCATAGGATGGTGGGAAAGCACTTTTAAAGATCACCTAATTCCAACCCCATTGCTGTGGACAAGGACATGATCAGTCCCATCATGAAGGAAAAAATATCAAATCTTCTAATAATATTCATTCTTTAAGAATATATAAAAGTTAAATAAAAGTACATGTGAAATAATGCTTGAGAGCAAGATCTTCTGAATTTTAAATTTTTTTCTGATGCACTGTTTTTCATAAAGGCAAAGTGTGTAGCTGTCAAAGGGAGATGTTTCAAGGAATAGTAAAAATCTTGGAGATGAAAGATTCATTCACAAATTCTAGTTTTAAATATGTCTAATAGTCAAACCCAGATGCTTTACAGTAAAATCATCCTCTTCAAAAGATGCATGAATATACTTTGGACTTTTAGAAATCTAAGTTGTTAAAATCAAAAAGGGATTAAATTATCCTCAACTTACATTGCTTAAAATGTAGAAAACATTCTCCTTTCTACTGTAAAGGAACCATAAGGATTGATTTTTTTTTTTTAATTTTGACTGCCTGAATTAAGACATATGCAGTACATTCTTTCTTTATCTGCCACAAGAGAGAAGTGCCTCATATATTTAGGCCAAAATATAATTTCTGTTGTGATCAGCAGCAGAGTTGCTGCACTGTGCACCACACAAGAGGTGTATCAATATTGGGGGGAAAGATAAACTGAAAGAAGATGAAGGTGATAACATGAGGAATGGGCAGAAAGCACAGAGAATAAACAGGCAATGCTTAAAAACACTGGGAAATGCAAAGAAAAGGAAGAAAAATGAGCAATAAAGAGCAATATAGGCGAAAATACAGGGAATGAAACAAATTTTGAGTTAAGATCACTTATTGAGTTGATGTTTGATGTCAAACATTTCAATAAAAATATAAGAAATTTTACGTAATTTCCTTGCTGATGTTAAGTGCATCAGGAAAAAGAACTCTGTACTGGTCCTTTTGAATTTTAGATCACTCTGATGTTTTAGAGCAGAACATATTATTTCGATAAGTAAAATGTGTTCTCCAATTCTGACCTTGCAACCTTAATTCCTACACAAAACTTAAGAGATGTCAGTTTTGCATGATTGCAGCTGAGAATGGCTGTTTTTATTGATATAATCAGTAAAACTTGTCATGTATTTTCCAGAAGTGACTGACTGGTGGGTGTTAAATGTAAATGATGGGATATTACCATTGTTTATTAAGATCTAGATGTTGAACTCCAGTCTTCCTCATGTACAACGTACTGTTGAATATTCAATTTTATTGCCAAGTGGTGTCCTGCAAGAGAGGTAATTTTGAAATATAGGAGTTGGGAATGACACTAAAGAAATTAACTACTTTATCAATGACTTTTTAATAATTCCAATTCAATGGAAAAAATTCATTAGAATGGAAAAATCCAGATCATGAACAAATTCTTCTCTCCTGATAATACAACATATCTAAATGCAGTTTTTAACACTCATCCATTGTTAGTGATCTACTTTGAGAAGTTCCCCAAAAATTAACTTTTTTCCTTCTTTTTGCTTTGAAAGTTCTTTGGTGTTTAAGATAACTTTTTATAATTCATCTTAAGCTTTTCAGAAATATGATTGAACATAATATTGTGAATCCACCTACAGCTCCTATTATCTTCAGTATTTCTAAAAAGCTATTTTTTTTACAAAAGTCTATTTCCTGGAATTGTATTTTAAATTAAGTTACATGTGCCTCCCTGTTAACTTCTCATTTATGCTGGCTTTGCAGTGGGTATGTAGAAGTAATTGTTAATGGTTTCACTTCTTTCATGCTTCTCCTTTTCAAGAACACAGCTAAAAACTCTTTGACTGTCACTATAGGATCCTATTTCATGATTGTGATTCATCCTTTCCCTCCTTTTTCTTCATGTGGGGACCACATTTTATTTTCAGAGTACATCTGACATTCTTCTTTTTGAACACAGAACAGAAGAAATAGTTATTTATAAGCCAATGTGTTAAAATACACACATGCAGATGTGTCAATTTTTTAATTTTTATTTTTTTGCAAATAACCAGAAAATCAAATCAGGCCTTTGTTTAGCAAACAAACTTGGATTCAGTTTTGTCCTTCACAGCTTTTAGGTTCACACGAGTAGTAGCTTATGTATTGTCCCTCATTTCTCCTCCACCTACCCCCAAAACATTTAGAAGTGAAAACTAATGGCAAAGGGCCATGTTTTGAATTGTGTGTGTGTCTGGAATCCTTTCTCCACCAAGCTGCTCTCCATGTTCTTTATCTGACCAGCTCTTCACATTATTTCAATTGTCCAGCCTTTTTCTATGGCCTGAAGAGACTGTACAGTTTTCAGAGCTCAGACCATTGACTTTTCAGTGCCTTGTATTATTGTGTTGCTGCACTGAGGCTGTAGGGCTCCTTGCTGAGGGACAATACAGGGATAGAGGAGGAAGACAGAAATTTCTGTCACAGGAACTGGCAGATAAGGTGGTGGAAATGAAATGGGTACAATCTACTCCTGGCTCTCTATTTTTAGAGCCACAGAAGGCCTCTCCTGATAATACAACATATCTAAATGCAAGGAACTCAGTCCCAGATTTTTTCCTTCACTCTCTAGAATGTCTGTGGACGTGCGCAACTGCAGGTTGTAACAGTGGTGTTGTTTGGGTTTTTTAAAATTTGCTCTATGTTATTATGGAGTGACTCTGGATATGAGGACACTGCACCAGAGACAGCGATTGGTGTTCCGTGGGTAGGAGCTCTGGGATTCTGCCAATTAAGACAATGCTTCAGTGATATAAAATGGAATATGAATTCTTAATTATAATTTCTCTTAGTAGTTTCTGCTTGCTTGCATCTAACTTTTAATGGCTTTATAGGAAGTTTGTGCACACACTCCAAGGCAAAATCTGGACTTATGTTTTTCTCATTTCTCTGGTGTGTTTCAGGAATGTTGCCAATGAATGGCTCCGTTGTGGGCTGTGTTGTTTTTACCTCTTGGATTTGTGTTCCCTGAAGACCAAAGAAAGCTGTTCAAGCAGTGTATGAGGTATGTAAATGGCAGCCTGATGCAAATTAAAGCCAATGAGTATTTATGATGTATTTTAGACTATTTCTGTCAGGTAGTTGCTTTTACGAGACTAATTTGGGACCTGCATTGAAGAAAGAACTAGGCCTCTGTTTTTGTTCTACAAAGCCTGGATTCTGGTACCACCTACTATTCCAGCTACTGAAGGATGTGGATGTTGAGTAGAAAATAGGGATTTCAGCTGGTTGTTGTAGGTATCAGACATTTCTATAGCTGCAGGTTAGTCCAGCTGCGCTTGTAGGGGGCTTTGAGGGGGATCATTAATTGTACCATTACACTGCATGTGAATTTCCTTGTGCTGGACTGGTGCAGTCTACATAAATAATCCTGGAAAAACATGCTTTATTCCTTTACTGTAATGCTTAGCTTATTTTGATGTTAAATCCAGCAGGAAACACAGACACACATGCTCAATGAAGCGTTTTGAATATTTTTTCAGTGATACTATATTTCTAAGCTATAAAGGAACAACAGGAAAAAATAGAAATACAAATAGATTTAAGAGATTTCTTTATCTTGGACCATGCTTGTGCCTGATACTTCGAACATATCACATAGCAACTCTCTCTACTTGTTTGTAGAATGGAGCAGGCTGCCCAGGGAAGTGGCTGAGTCACTACCCTTGGAAATGTCCAAAAGATGTGTGGATGTGGCATTTGGGGATTTGGTTTAGTGGTGAACATGGTGGTGTTGGGTTAACAGTTGGGCTCCGTGACCTTGGAGATCTTTTCAAACCTTAATGATTCTGTGATTCTCTTTTTACTCTGCCTGTCTCAGAGTATGGAATGGATTCTGATGTCTCATTACTTTGCATGGCTGGTTTAAAAGTGAAGCACTGTGTAATTTGATTTACCCCAAATTCTATATATACCCCTGGATTCTACTATAAATCTTACCACTAAGCAGAACTTTACCTTCCCAATAGTCACACGTGCAGAGTTCAGTGTAATATGGCCTGGCAAACACAGTAAGGACAAGAGATTTGGGAACACACTGGAAAGCTCACAATGTAGCTTAACTATTCCTAGCATCAAAGCAAATTGGTGTTTGAAATAGAATTCTCCAGTAGTGTTTTAATGTGATGTTTTCAACATTATGTAGAATTTTAAAAAGAAATTTTTAAGTTATCTCCAAAAGCATAATGAGCTATGTGTTGAGTAAATGATTTTTCTATGGTTCAAGATGACTGTAAGGAAAGTCTGGGGGGATTTGAATTTTCTTTGTGTGATTAAGAAAAGTAACCAAGCAATTCCACTGGCAACAGTGATGTGGGACACTTCACTTGAAACTAATCTCAGGCTGTAACTTATTGGATCTTCTCAATAGAGAATGGGAGATTAGGCAAAACATCTTTAAACTGCTTGCCTTTTTACATTTTCCAAATGATGTCCTTACTGCTGCCTCCAGCTAGTCAGCTTCCTGAGATGTGCACGGACTTTACGGAAGACAAAGTAGTGTAAAATGAAGAAATCATTATAACAAGAAAGTCTGAATATATAATTTAACTTGAATTAGAAACTGCATTCTGGTGTGCAGAAGTGTTGGCCCTTCCCATCTGAAATGACCAGTGTTGGGGTTGGCTGGGCATTTTGAGTTATCCTGGCAGCATTAATTTATTTGGAATGCACTGTTTTCACTGACATAACATGGTCATAATAAATTTATCTGCAGGGCACAGAGATTCTCATGTTCACACCCTTACCACCCCAAGTAAAGCATTTGTAGAGCTATCAGCTGCTTAAAAAAAGCTCAGTTGCTGACAATCTGCATCTTCCAATGATTTAAGCTATGGGAAATAATCATGAGATTGTGTTCTGTTTGTGTGCTTGTCTATTCTGCAAGAAAGAAATGTAAAACACCTTTCTTTCTTTTTGTCTGACCTTTTCTTTCACCAGTGAAGCACAAGAAAACCACCTTTTTGTGTTTCATGGACTGTTACAGACGCAGCGCGGCTGAAGAGCTAACACCACATTTAAGGGATACAAAATGGATGCTTAATGATCTAAATGCTTCCTACTTCTTGTAATTCACACAAAAGAACAGAGTAAAGAAAATTCTGAAATTATAGGATTTATAGACCTTAGATTACAGATATTAATTTTTTAGATTACTATTTAGGAAGGCTTTATAATAGCTTGTAATATTTAATTTGTTAATTGGAGCCACCTATATTTGGATGAAATTACTTCACTCATGTCCATGAAAGGTATCATTGTTCAAAATACTCTGTGTCTTTGCTGTGTGTGTTCTTCCATGCTTTTTTGTGTGTGCTCATCATAGGCAAATGTTAGAAAATGTCTTTAAAAATGGGGGAAGTGAAAATCATGAGTTGCAAGTTGACATCAGGAGTTACAGATCACTTCCAGTGATGTTTCTAGGCTTTCTTATTTGTTATTGAGCCTTTGAAGAGCCCATGATTAGTTACTGAATCAGCACATTGCTGCTTCATTTTTTCTCATCATGTTCTTGCACTCAAAAGCAACAACAATATAAACCCCTAAAGTCAAATCAGAGCATGTATTTCAATCCAGCTCATAAAGCTCAGGTGACAGTAACTGATGACTGGGAAATACAGACCAATTCGACGGTGGGCACTGATGAAATCTGTAAAATGCATTAGGCCAGTTGTGACAAATGTTCTGGCTTTTAGCTTTTTGTGACCTTTTATTATTTTACATAGAGGATCCTGGAAGCAACAAATGGTTCTTTCAAACATTCCGTGTAGAGTGAACTTCCTTCAAATAAGATGGGCCCAGGGGCTTGAGAGTAGAGTATAAGAGATGTAAGGGAGGCTGTTCTTCTTGAGTTCTGGTATTTTTAAAGCAAACAAGCAAAAGCCCCAAGGAGGTGATGGGATTAAATCTCAAACTCCACATTGTTCTGTATTTGGTGAAGCAGCCAGGAGCAGACTGAGGCTTTTTCCCAACAGAGCTTTGACATGCTCATTTATTTTATTGCCATGCTTTTAAACAGGTTTATTACTGTATGGATATGAGAACAGAACAGACCCCTCTGAGGAGTCCTTTCCAGGGGGGAATGTAGAGGTTAGGAGAGGAAACACTTGAAAGGAATCCCAAACAGCTCTCTCCCATTTTCTCTCTGTCACTTCAACGTAATGAACAGGGATAAATAAAGTAATAAAGCTGTCTGCAACCACAGCTGTATGGCTCCTATTCCCATAGGCTCAGCAACATCAATCAAAAGTGAATTAGAGAGACATGTTTTACTTCTGTTGTATATCAAAGAGTTGCTCGGGTGTTACCAAATGTTAATTCATTTTAGCAGCTTGATATGAGACAAAAATCTGGAAACAGTGTATCTGAAAACTCCTTGCTGTGTCCTGGATTTGTGTCCTGAGTCCTCCCTTTGCTTCCATGGAGTAACAAGGGCACTGAATGTGGTTTCCATGCACAATGAATTACACTGTGTCCTCATTTATTGCTCCTCCTGTTACAGTTATTTCTACTCACTCCTCATGCTTGGCTGGCTGCAATCTGACATTTTCTACTCCTAAACCCTGAACTCAGGCTTTCCCTGGTGACATGCACAAATTCTTCTGGAGCAAACAAACCATAGTGTGGTTTTACATTGAATGGCAGTGGAAAAAGTTACTGTATTTCCAACTCTTATCCTAGAATATTACATTGTGGGTTTTCCTACATAATCAGCAAAAAATATCTGGGTGTTTAACTCCTGGGAAAATGCAAGGTGGGGCAATAGGCAGGAGAAACACAATGAAATAAAAAATGGCAAAAAAAGTTTGAGTGCTAAACTGTGATTTTTGGCCAGTTACTTTAACTCTATGTTCTGTTTCATCTAATCCTTTCCCCTGCTGGTTTAGACTGTAGTTCTTTGGGCAGGAACAGTACCCTTACTATTGCCAAGTCCTTTCATACAGTGTCACCTCAGTCTAGAAACAAGTGCTTCCATTTTGTTCAAATGAAGAGTAGATTTAGAGGAGATGGACCAGCTTACAGATGGCTGCCTTATGATCTGAATTCAATTAGCCAAATATTCATAGGAATTTACTCTTTTTATACTGCATTTTTGGTTTGTTTTTCCACACAAAATATATACATGCTGTCTGATCCCCAAGGAACACTTATTTCCATACAGAGGCTGTGAAATTCAAATTCTCTTCTTAGTTCATATATGTGATGTGTCTCTTCTGATATATGTGATCTACCTATTTATAGGTGTACATGTTATTACAAGTAACTATGCAGATATACATACAAATACATGTTTGTACTACTGGAGCCCCATTTGGGTCTCAGATTTGTTATGACCAGTAATTAAAATCTGTAATGGTAGAACTTAGTTATGTCTAAAACAGGAGAAGTCTCACAAATCCCACAGAGGTATAATATTATTTGTGCTCATAAAAAGCAGAAATAGTGTATTTTGGGTCCAGGACAGAGTCCTAGGTTTACTCTGTTAAAGCATATTTATTTTTTTCTTTAAAGAGACGTAAATGCTTTCTCTGAAATTATTATTGGGATAGGTGATTTTCCTCTCAATGACAAGCTTGGAGTTTGATTTTTGAGATATGAATGCTGACTGATAATTGCTGATAATATGGGACAAAACGCTTATCTGGCTTTATACTGTAATTTTTGTCTGGGACAAGTGTTTGAAGATTCTTCTTCCAGAGAGAGAATTCATTATATTTGGCCATATCAGGAAGACAATAAGAGACATTTATCTGTTTCTTTTTTCATTATACAGTGGTTTTATCCCAGAACCAAATGTTGCATTACCTACACTCTCTGCAAATTATGAAATCTGTCATTTTTCTGTACATTCCTTAAATCTTCTGATTTAGCAAGGAACTGATTCTTTCTAGGTACACTGAATTCTAGCAGGGAAGATTTTGTGATGAGAAAATGAAAAAGCTGGAATGACATTATAATACTTCCATTGAATTTACATAAAAATTGAAACAGGTAAGAGATAAGAAACTACTTTACAGTACTTTTTTTTATATATAAACTTGTATCATCTAAGAAAATGCTGATCAAGCAAATTTTCAGGGGTAAAAATATAAGAAATTGCTGAGTCCTTTAATATATGTAAATTCAATGTAAAGATAAATATCTTTAGCCTAGTTTTACATGTTGCAATGTAAGAAAGAAGGAAAGTATTAGTGCACAATCAGGTTTCCTGTTATCATTCTTAGCATCTCAAGGAAGACCTGTCCCAGCCCAGACTAAAAGAAACCAGTGGAACAACCTCCGTGCTAAACCTGGGGCAAAGTGTTTTTAAAAAGCTGTTTTACAAAGGAGAAAACTGATTAGATACAAAGTAGTGGAACTACACATTCATGTTATGAAATGATCACTAAGTTTTCTTTCCATGGTTCTGTTCTGTTTCCTCTAACGAGAGCAACACCCAGTGGCTGAAAAATATCCAGCTCTGGAAAAGGAGCAAGGTCTGGGTGTTTGGTGAGTAGGAGAGAGAGACTTTCTCATCATGCACGGCATAATTCCATAGCAATGACTGCACAATTACTATGACTCAGTTAAATGCTACAGTAATTTACATAATATTTTCTGCTGAAGTACCTTAAATGCAATTTGATTGCAAACACCAAAATAAGTCTCATAGAATCTTCAGCTCAAAATCTCAGTGGGAACAGGCCTGATGCAGCTGGGAAGCACTTTGAAGTCTATGAAACTAAAAAATAAAAAAAAAAGTTGCAGACGCTCAGTAGGATGCTGAACATAGTTTAAAATTTATAACTATTTTACATAGAAAAAAGAGATTTGATGTTTAAATATTAAGCATTATTTATACAATAGCTATGTTTCTAATTATAAACCAGTATTCACTCCAAATCTGGAGTAATTTCCTTCTCTCATTCAGTTACGACATTAAAATCCAGGGGTTTGTATATCTCTCTGGATATTATCCTTCTTTGAACTGAAGAAAAACATCTTGTGAGCTGTTGCACATAGTTTCTGCACTGGGATACAGTCACTGTGTATCTCCCACAAACTTAGGATGAATTTAGATAGTTAGACTGGGGGAAGAGCTAGAAAATGTCATTCATATCCTATTCCTCTATTTTCTACTTTTATCTTAGATGGCAGAGCTTTTACCCCGCTTAAGGTTGTAGAGAGCCCTGCAGATTTTAGTGTAACAACTCGCAAAAGCAAAAAGCATGGCCATTTCAGTCTGTTTGGAAGCTTCTAGCACTTCAGCAAGATATAGAGCTAAGAATAGACTTCCTTTATTTTTTCCAAAAAAAGAGAAAAACAACTGTCAGAAAAATCGTATTCTGAACACTTAAAAACTGGCACTGACTATCACAATGGCAGCTGATGAGTTGTGAAAGTTTAGCTTCATTTAAATATTAAAGCTGGAACTGAGGGATTTTCCTCCCAATCCTTTCCAGTTGTATATATATTAACATAGGTATGAGCAATTTTGAAAATCTGGACACTTGTGAAAAACTAGAATCAAGATTGGATTTTGGGACTGCATTAGATGCCTCTGAAATTAATTTGCTAAGGAAGGACTATTAATAAGGGGAAAAAAATGAGCATATCTGAATCTACAAATCTATTTCCATCTCTTGCCCAACTGATTTGTCAAAGGCTTTGTAGTTCTCAAGGTTTGCCCAGTTACAGTTTTGTGCAGTGTAAAGCAGTAACTGCTTATTTACAGCTCTTTTGGAGGGAATTTACATTTTGAATAGTGGAATGATAGCTCTTGATCTACACTTAATTAACACTGACATTGCTCACATTTATTCAAATGGAGCTAAACACAGAGATGTGTAATTTTTATGCCAATTAATCTGGTCAAGTGAGGTTAGTGAATGAAAGACTCTCTACCTCATAAAGGAATGGGTGTTCATTTATTTGTGAAAGAAAAGGCTTCACACTGTTCCAGCCCCTTTGTATTTGTAATACAATAGTGATTACAAACACAGAGCTCAAACAGTAGCTGAGTTTTACATATCTGAGATCTTGGGGGAATCAGGGATAAGGCAACAAACTTGCCTTAAAAACTAATTGAAGCAGATTTTTTAATGGCTCATGGTTAGCCAGCTTTGTATTACAGGGAGTATGGAACAGGTGAAATTGTCCATTTTGGATGTAAACAGAAGGAAGCAAAAGAACACTGCGGACACTGGGAGAGGCTTGGCTGTTCAGAGGGGCTGTACCAGTGTTTTGTGGTGAGACATTGTCTCAGATTTAGCTGTTGAGAATCTCTGCCCACAGGAATTGCTTCGAATCTGAAATGTGGAGAATGATCATCCATGGGAAAGCAAAGGACTTTGTCTTCTGGGAATTTGGGGTTGGAGTCAAATAAATCTGATCTGGGCTATTTGTCAAATTCTAGACAAATGTAAACTAAGGCAAAGAACTGGTCTGGCCGTTGTTACATAAATTGGTAGAGAGAAATCCATCTCTTTGTGTGAGTGGGACTCAAGCCTATAAATGCCAAGTCCTGTCAGTAATATTTAAATATTATGTGTGCAGTCTGTTTTTTTCAGTCTATATACAGGCAGCAGGAGCATTTATGTTCACACCTTTGGGGCTTTGATTTTTAATTGAGGAATTTTCATTTTGTTGAAGTGTAACTTCTCTTCCATATCTGCATTAAAACAACACTTCTGGCTTTTGAGATTTAGAAGGTACATTGGACACCTAAAAAGATTGCCTCCACAGCCTTATTATAGTTCAGAGACAAAATTAGAAAAGATTAAAACTTAAATAAAAAATAAAATAAAAATCTCTTCTCCTTGCACACCACCTGCTGCTCAGTATCCAGTAACATAAATTTGCTCTGAGGGTGTCTGTACCAGGCTGGAAAAGGCACTGCTAAGTGAGCAAATGAGGCACTGCCTGTTTCCTGGAGCTGGCTGCACCGAGCAGTGTTTGCCAGCCCACCCCACCGGGACAAGCCGTGTTTTGGGCTGAAGTACTAAATGTCAGAATATTTCAGCTTTGCAGTGGAACAGGCCTCCCTGATCCTCTTTCATCTGTCTGCTCAGGCTCAAAACTTGAAAAGGGTCTGAGTAGCCCTGAGGGAGGATAAGCAAAAGTCAGGAGAAGAAATGTAATAATGGTTCTGTTTGCATGGAATTAAAAGGCTGCACAGCTGCATGGAGGGAGTATAGTTGGAGGCTTTGCTGGTCTGTGTGTGCCAGTTTGGTTGAACAAATGTCCTGCAAATAAATGAGGAACCCTAGAGAGCCTTTGCTAAACCTGGTCCTCCTATGAACTCTCTTGATAGCTGCTCAGAGCATGACTATCACTGTCTGTGCAGCTGATGGGGCTTGGCTGGTAATCCATGGATTCCTTCTGTAAAGGAAACTGGGCAAATATTGGCATCTGGAAGCAATAATTGAATTTTGAGCTATAGGCAGTGAATTTCACTTTGATTAAATAATTTCTGTATTTAAGCAGCTTGCGCAGTATGATTTTGATCCTACATAATTAACACAGTATAAGAAAAATACTATATATGAAGTATGACCAGAAATGCAACACTTCACACCTCTTAGTGTCATTAGCCTGTGGAATTATATGCAACATTGATTTGGAATTTGATTTGAAGTTTCAGATAATTACAGTGGTCGAATTTCTTACTCAACTGCATTAATTTCAATTAGTTCTGAATTTTGAGGCAATGCTCCTGCCATGCAGAGTCACTGCTATGCCCCTCCATTTTCAGTAGCTGCTTATAGGTTTCCTGGCAGTTTTAACATCTGGAGGGTGGT